AAGAAGAAAATTTTCAATATACCCAAAATCTGTTTAGAACTTCCATAATGCCTCAACATACGAAAGTTGTCACAAGACCGCAATTTCAAAACACGCAAATTTCAAGATTTGCAAGCCCACAAAACATTCCTCAAAATTTTGGAAATAATCAACAATTTTCATTTAACACTCCAAATTTCAACTATGACACCCCCCAAAGACCAAAATTCGAAACGAGACATTCAGCACCTCAGTCATTTTCTGCAAACTCATTTCCCAGACAACCTATCAATGTTCAGCCACGACCTGTCCACAGAAACTTCCCAACAAACAGACAAGTCTTTGGTCCACCCCCAAATGTCTTCAAACCTACAGGGAGGACACCTCCAAATCAACCAGAACCAATGTCAGTCACATCCAGAAACACATTCCATAGGCAACCGAATAACCCCCAAAATAAATTCGCACCATCAGGTCCTCGTAACTTCACGTCTCAGGAAATTAACCAAATTGATGAAGAGTCACCCGATATTCTAGAAAATACTAATGCCCCGAACGACTCTGACAATATTCCTGATAACTATGACCCAGAATTTAAACATGACTATTACACTTACGACCACAATTCGGACGTAAATCCCCAAACTGAAGTTTATGAAAATCCATACATAGATGATGATATAAATCAATATCTAAACTCTGAACAACCATTGGACGTATTCACCGTCGAAAAAGACTAAAAATCCTTTTTGAAAAAATACAAGAAACCTCACTGAAACACAAGACCAAACTAATCGAAACCAAACACACCTTCATCCATTTTGTCGAAATATCTCCAATTTTCAATCAACTAAAAAAATCTACGATCCTTTTATAATAAAATTGCCGACCACGTTAGAAGTCATCATGAAATAGTAGACGAAATAGTAGAAAATGTCAAAATTAACCTTCCGCAAACAATTTTGTCCAATCTACTGAAACACGCCGAGTATCTTATTCTAGAAGTAGAAAACAAAATTAATAATATTGAACCTCAAGAGCGTTCGAAGCGCGGTTTGTTGAATTTAGTGGGAGAAACTTCCAAATGGGTTTTTGGTACTCTGGACTCAGACGATGAAGTTAAATATAACGATGCTATTCAGGAACTCCAGCGTAACCAAAATTCCACTCTAAAGGAAATCACAATACAAATATCGCTTTCAAAAAAGCTGATAGATAATTACAATCATACAATAACTCTTCTTACTACCAATCAAGAAGTAATTAAAAAACGGCTAGATTTTCTTCAATTCAATATCAGTCAAAACCTGATAGAATATTTGGGAACGCAAAATACACTAAATCAAATTATATTAAATTGCCAAAATTTAATTACTTTTCTGGACAATTTAGAAGATGCATTAACATTTGCAAAATTAAATGCATTACACAGCACTGTGATCTCAGCTACGGAGCTAGAAAAGATAATGGGGCATCTGTCTTCATTATACAATAAAGACAGGATTCCTCAATTTAAAAGTTATATCTCATATTATCAATTGGTTGGCACACAGGTTACCTTTTCAGAAAACAAACTTATATTTGCTATACATTTTCCAATTTTCTCTCAAAACTCATTCGAAATGTTTCGCCTATTTCCTATCCCAATTAATAATTCCACAATCGTCCCAAGTCACCCGTTCCTACTACTTGGAGAAAACCAACAACAGTACGAGGATGAGATGTGCCCAACAATCGAGGACACACATATTTGCCA